AAAATAAAATAGATGTTATTATAGAAGAGCCTAATATGAAGATGTAATAGAAAAAAAATGATAAATTATAGAAAGGTAGTAAAACATTTAGTCTTAATACTCACTTTTATAGAAGGGACTTTTATTTATTTTGTAGAGGCATAAATGAGCCAAATCAAAGTAAATAAAATAAGAAATTAATATAGACATATTTAAAATAGAATTAATAATAATTTGAAGCAAAAATTATTTTAAATTGTTAAAAATTGATATCCAAAGAGACTAGTTGTCAACTTGGGACAAAATTAGATTGCAAGGCGACTCCATGGTTCTTTTGCAAATCAAAGAATGGATTTTGAAAAAAGACTTTATTGGATTTTTTTTAAGTGTTGATTTTAGGCAATTTAAATTTGTAATGACTTTGCAAGGGATTTGCAAAGTTATAGTTGTTTTTGGTGAATTTGGTTTTGTAAAATAAAAAAAGGATTTACATTTGGAAGAATTTTGTGTATTTGGTAGAAGATCTATAAGTAATAATTTGTAGATTTATCATTATGATTGTATATATTTTCTCCTATAAATTTGAATATAATTGAATAGTTAGATTGAAGGTTATCAAAGTTTAAGTAGATTGAGATTTGAAAAATGGGATTTTGAAAGATGGTAAGAATTTTTAAGATCTTTAGTAATTTACTAATTTGATTGAAGTGAAATTTATGTGTATCGATAGTAGACTTGATTTCCAAAATTTGTGTATATTTTGAGAAGTATTTAATAGTAAAATTAAGATATTTTGGCTTAAAGAAATTGATATCAAGATTGAAAAAGGAGGTAGGCCAATATTCAAGCGGATCTTAGAATTTATCACCTACTTGGTATATGCAATCTTTTTCAAATTTTTTGTACTTATTGCTAACTTAATTGTTACAAGATATGAAAAGTTTGAGTCAAAATCAATGATTTAATTATTTTTTTATTAAATTTTTAATGTATTATAGGATTATTAAGTGTTTTTAATTTAAGATTTAGGATTTGATCAAAATTTAGAATTTTGTTTAGATTTGGTTAGGATTTAATTAGAATATGATTAAACTTTGACTAAAAATTGATTAAGATTTATCTAATATTTGTATAAGATTTAATTAGAGTTCATCAAGATTGATTAAGGATTTAGGATTTCATTAGGGTTTGACTGAGGATTTAGTTAAGGTCCATTAAGATTTTAATTAGAATTTGATTTAGAATCTATTTAAGATTCAATAGGATTTTAGTTAGGATTAAATTAGGAATTGATTAAGATTTATTTAAATTTCATATTTTTAGTATCTTTAAAAGATTTTTTTTTTAAAAAAAAATATTTACAATATTTCTTTAGAGGTTTCTTTTTATATTTCTATAAGATTTTTTATTAATTTTTTATGTTAATTTAGGATTTTTTTTAATTTTTCAAAAAAAAAATTAAATTAATTAAAGTTTGATTAGAATTATTAAGGTTTATTTAAAATTTATTAAAGATTTTATTAAACTTAGTAGGATTGTTTTTACATTTCTACTTATTTTCTACAACTAGGTGCCCAATGTATTCTCAAGCAAGGATACATGTAATGTGACAATGTAGCAATATTTTGTAGGACCTCCAACATGTATCTAATTTATGAGACACATGTCTTAACTTGCAAGAAAAGTTTTTTATATGTGTACAACATTCTTAACTTATACCATTTGCTATCCACACATGTGACACATGGTTAATTATAAAAATCTATTATAAAATAAAAAAATAAAATAAAATAAAATAAAAAGATATACATTAGGTGTTGCATAGATTCCTACTGCATGGTCTCTATTATAGTTGGATCAACTTGTTTTCTAACACATTATCTACTTTGACTAACATGCTTTTTATTTTGTAGTTGTGTTTTTTCTTTAGACAATGTTGAACAATGTGCTTAGATTCTTTATAGTATAATTATTATCCTTTTTAATAATGTAGATTTTTTTTTACTCAATAAGAATTTTACAACACATTGCATCAATTTATATGTCTTCCATTCCTAAATGGTTGTATTTATGAAACTTTGGTATTACCATTAAATTGTAAAAATACTTAAACATGTTTATTTGCCTTTCAAATTAAATCTAAAAAATTAATAGTTACACTTTATAACAAAATCAATTATTTGATTCAATATTTAAAAATTATATAAGTTCAACATCATTTTCTTTTTATCATATTACAATTTGAAGAAAAATTAGTTGATAAATGCAACATCATTGTATTTAATATTAATTATAAGTTATTAAAAATGTAGAACAAATATTAATACTAAAAAAAATTGATGGAAATTTTTTAAAAATATATTGGTTATAATATAAATTTCATTATGTTCTTATAAATTTATCAAAGTTTTGCTAAAAAAACCTACAAGTTAGCAAATATTGAATAACATTGTTTAAAAAATAATTAAAACCATGTTAAAGCTGAACTTAAAAGTAATGTTTTAAAAAATGTGACTTGTGGTTATAAATTTAGATAATTTTTATGTTAAAATTTAATCACAAGTTGTACTTAATTGTTAAATCCTTAAAACTTTGATCTTTTATCATTAAACTTCTCAAGCAAGGCAATTTTTTATTTTTTATTATTTTTAGTGATGCTATTATATGAGAAATAATCTAATTTGGTATCAATATTGAAGTAGCTCTAATGATTTAAATATATCTTTGCTTTCAATTAATCTTCTTGATTCTTTTAGTAGTGAATTGAAATAATGCATTACTAGCATTAACCACCTTATTTGCTTATGTATTTGTACTATTGCATCATTTATTTTAAAAAAAAATCATAATAATATAATAAACAAATATCAAATATTACTTGAAATAAATCAATGAAATAATTTTAAAATATTTTTTTAAAAAAATAATATTAATTTAGAAGTATGTAATCCAAAAATTCTAATAAACTTATGTATTATTAAATAAAATAAAATAAAATAAAATCTACTATTAATTAAGAAAATTAAAGTTCTAATATTATAAGTAATTCTTGTCAATCTATTAAAAATATAAATTGCCAAACAACCAAAAAGTCAATATACTCTTATATTACTAAAAAAAATAAAAATTCACTTAAAAATAGTTATAATATTAAATAAATAATGGCAATTGCCTAAGAGAAGAAGACTAGAAATTCTTGAAACAAGACTAGAATAAAAAAAATGTTGACAAGAGTGAAAAAGGCCTCATTTTTGCTTCCATATGTAATCTAATTAAGGATCTACATGACAACATTCTATATGTTATTTGCATGTATGCAATTTATTAGACACATGTCTAACTTGTTACATATGTATCAATATGTTTAATTGTGACACTTGTTTATAAATATTTCAAAAAAAGAATTGTGAAAGAGATCTATCAATAAACTTCAATAGTCCTTAAGTAGTAGTAGTATTACTTTATCTTTAAACATTAAAGTCTTTTATGTATTAACTAATAATTTTTTTCTAATAAAATAATCATTATTCTATATTTTAATTAAATAATAATCAAGGATTAAACAAGTCTGACAAAGTTTTCTAATTATATAAACTTATTAGATTTATTCAACTACTTTTGATAATAAATTATTGCAATTTTTTTTTTTGATAACATCTCAATATGATCTTTTTGTGTAATAAGAATATATAAAAACACAAAACTGTATAAAAGAAATCAATTATAGGATGCAATCTATGAATTATTTTCTACTAATAAATGATAGATAATAGAAGAAAATTAAATTCTAGTTTAAATAATAATAATAATAATAATTTTATAAATGATAATAATAATAATTTAATAAAAAATAATAATTACAATTATAAAGCAGATGTAGAAAGTATTAAAAATTATTTTAATCAAGCAGATATTTTGTACATAATTGCTTTTTGAAAAAAACTCTTATAATAATAGAAGATATGGTATCTAATTGTTGACAAGATTAGATAGACTTTATATATTTTTATAAATTACATGTTTTCAAAAAATATCTAAAATTAAAAAAAAAAAAAAAAAAAAAAAAAAACATTGAATCTAAAATTTTAAATCTAAATTTAAAAAAATTGAAGATTAATATTTATTTGATGCAATTTTTTTTCTGAATTTGCCATATGACCTAAGGTGTCGGAAAGAACCATCAAAATGAAGGGTATTAAGAAGAAATTTCAAATCAATAAAGAAATCGACAAACAATCAATTGCATTCAGTGGCGTTATACTATTTAATATGTGTCATGGTAGACATATGGATTGATTTGAAGTATAAAATACTGTGACAAAGCAACACATAATTCACACGTACAACGTTAGTGTACAAAGTCATGACAAAGTAAAACCATTCTTTTTAGCAGCATAAACTTGTGTCTCATAGACAATAACATTGACATGAAAAAAACTTTGGTAACTGAGACTTTGTCGGCGATATAAATCAATACACACCCAAAATCACGCAAAATTCAAGTTCGAGCTATACGGAAAGGAAAGAAAACTTCTCCCGTTGGATTACTCAAAGTCAACTGTGGGAGTCAACGTTACAGGTCAACGCCGATACATGGGAAACGCACCCGAAGTAGTGGGCGGCAAGGGGTGGCGGATTTCCGATCACAACGCAGGATTCGAAGACGATGTTGCAGAGAAAGTTCATCCCGGCTATGCCTGCCCGGGAGAAGCTTGGTGCACAACAAGGGCTGAGAAAATCACCAAGACATCCCACAAACTTCGCATAGTATTCTCCCCGCAGCTCACGAGATCTGTGCTTTATGCACTCCGCTGTGTGCATTCATGAAGCAGACGACCCACGATGAGCGTGCCGCTCAGCAACGAGAGACGGATGAACCATTGTCGCCGAATTAAAATGTGCAGAAGCTGGGGGGGGGGGGGGGTATTTAAGTAGCCTCGACCTTCCACGAGGATCCGGCGCTGTCGGTGGGCATGACACCACGCAGGAAATACCGTTGGGCTGCTGTGGCGAGGAAGGACACCGAGAAGATCTCTCAGCACCGTTTGACTGCGAGCACGCGGCTTCGTGCAGAATTAGGTGCGCGTGGATACTGTTATTTGACCATTGGGTCCCACCATGTTATCTACTAGTCGAGGGTGTCCCTTGGATAGTCATGGTGGTCGTGGTTCGCGCAGATCAAGTAAGCAAAGCTTGGGACTGCAGAAAAATAATTTTCTGTGAAAGTGAGAGGAAGAGAGGGAAAGAGGTAGAGATGGCGGATGTTGAGGATACGTCGACGTTGGTCGTGTTTCCATGCTTGGTGCGGCAATCACCTGTCATCGCAATTTTAAGCCAATGCAAGGGACTTGGAATGTTTTATACTCTGCCTCGAAGTCGTTTTAGAGAATAAATTGGCGAGAAGGGATTCGTAGAGTGAGTGGATAGTTTTTGGGACAATATGTGTGAATCGCAGAAGAAATTTTCAGTGTAGGGCAGCCGTGCACTGTGTAAATTTCTTGCGAGCAGAGCACGCTGTCAGTCGAAGCATCCCCGTTGTCGCCCTTTTGTGCACTTCTTGAGATGGCTAGTTTCGTGTAGGGCGTTTTAATCGTAGGCTTGGCGATAGTGGGAGTTTAATTTAGACAAGAGAGCGGGAAAGATGAGAATGATTCGTCGCACCACAAGGATTGTATCATGTTCTCTCCACTCTCTATGTGTTTGTTTCCTGTTTTTGAACCTCACGATCGCTACCGAGGTTCATCTATGGCCGCAGCCAAAAGTAGTGGAATGGGGGGATGGGCCTGCCATTGTACTCGCGGACAATTTCTCTATCTATGTGCCTTACAAGGGCGTTCTTAAGCGTGCGGCGAAGCGATACCAGAAACTCCTCAATCGAGAGCGATGGGTTCCGATCCAAAGCGCCCCGGAAAATAGGTGGTCGCAATGTGCATACGAGTTGGAGAGTCTTAGCATCTCCGTTACAAATACCGCAGCGGAGCTCCAGCATGGGGTGGACGAGTCGTACACCATTATGGTGAAGGGGTGTGAGACAATGAAACCAACTCTGCCGGCAGCCTTGCTCTCGGCGGAGACTGTGTGGGGGGCGTTGCATGGGCTGGAAACGTTCTCACAGATCGTTAGACTCCGGAGCCGTGTCACAAAGTCCAAGCGCTCAATTCCTCATACGGTGCTCATCAAGGACTCGCCCAACTTTCCTCACCGAGGAGTTATGTTGGACACGTCTCGAAACTTCTACCCTGTCAAATCAATTATGCGAACCTTGCAAGCTATGGCGTACAACAAGCTCAACGTCTTCCACTGGCATATCACGGACTCTCATTCATTCCCCCTTGAACTTGTTAGTGAGCCAGAGCTTGCTAACCAGGGTGCCTACGGCTCAAAGGAGAGGTACAGCGCATCTGATGTGAATAGGATCCTCAAGTTCGCTCGCGACCGAGGAGTTCGCATCATTCCCGAAATCGACATGCCTGGTATGATCTCTGTTAAACTCGGTTTGCTCATTCTGCAGCTCAATAATTAAAATGACCATGAATTTGGGTTTGTCTCGATTCTTATGGAGACAGAAATGCATGTTGTCATTGTTCGTTTTATGCAGGCCATACAGGATCCTGGGCCGAAGCTTATCCTGAAATCGTTGCATGCCATGGCGAGTTCTGGTTGGCACCGTCAGGACAGTGGGAAGACAGATTTGCAGCAGAGCCCGGCGGGGTTGGACAACTGAACCCCCTGCTTCCGCAGACCTACAAGGTGGTGAAGAATGTGATTGACGAAGTTGCCCATCTTTTTCCCGACGGGTTTTTCCATGGAGGCGGAGACGAAGTTAACTTTGGCTGCTGGAACAACAATACTGATATTCGAGTGAGAGTCCTGCGACCAGTCGATCCTTCCCGCTTCCTTGTACATAATATATATTGTACATTGATGTTTTCTGCGTGATTCTTGTCCTTTATCCTGCCATACAAACCTGGAAACTTTGTTATTGGTCGGTCGCTGTAGGAGTTTGTGAACGGAGGCGGGAGCATGAACGACCTGCTTGAGAGGTTTTTGAGGGAAGCTCACTCGTACACCACAACAAAGAAGAAAACGACAATATACTGGGAAGATGTCATCCTCTCTAGCTCCATAAACGTGTCGCTTTCGGTTCTGCCTCGTGAGGAAACTATTCTGCAGACGTGGAACAGGGGGGCTGCGAATACGAAGCTCTTGGTGTCTGCTGGCTATCGCACCATCGTTTCATCGTCGGACTTTTTTTATCTCGACTGCGGGCGTGGTGGTTGGGTTGGAAATGACAGCAGGTAGCGTCGTAATCCAAACTTTTGTCCCATTGGTAAGAAACATGTTTCTTCTTTACACAATGGTGTTTGTCGATGATTTAAGTTCAATTGTTTTTTTGATACATTGCAGGTATGACCAACAAGTGGATGATGACCCCAATAATCGCGTCAACTATGGCGGTGATGGAGGTTCATGGTGTGCACCATTCAAGACCTGGGCCAGAATTTACGACTACGACATTACTTTCAACTTGACGAAGGAGGAGGCTAAGCTGGTGCTCGGTGGCGAGGTGGCCTTATGGTCAGAACAGGCGGATGACACGGTGCTGGATAGCCTCCTGTGGCCTCGTGCAGCAGCCTTGGCGGAGTCTCTCTGGTCCGGCAACAAGGCACCCAACGGGATGAAGCGGGGAGCGGAGGCTCTCGACAGATTAAACGACTGGCGGTTTCGCTTGTTGGCAAGGGGCATCAATGCAGCACCCCTGCAACCTTATTGGTGTCTGAAACATCCTGGGCAATGTAATGTAAACGCCTGACAGTAAGGTGACATGGTGGGTTGTGAGGAGTTGATCCACTATTTTCAGTCTGCTTCGCTGTTTATCTGTAGTTGTTTGCTTCAACTGAATAGTAAATCTTATAAATGAGGCATTAGAGTTATATTCTTGCCTTCAAGCACATCGATATCCTCCTTCCTGCAGGCTTAAGTAGACTAGGCAAGGGCTGGGATGTCTTCGGAAGAAGTGATCAGGATGTCGAAGTCGCTGATGGTCCACTCCGCTGTTGCTGGCTGGGAGCTCACGTACACCTCCGTCCCCACGTCGACTGATGGCCAAACTCTTAATGCTGGTGGTGTGTCCGGTTCCTGCATTTATCAGAGTTTTGTTAGAGACCCTGATACAATCTGCTGAAGATCGCAGATAGTCACATTGTAGACCGTCAAACGGTCATTACGGCTGTCAGTCATTCTATAAACATATAATCGTTCAATGAAATCGGATGGTGTCACTCAGAAGACGCGGCTACTAGTCATATTAGCCTTCAAGCACGTATGCTAATGTTGATGATACAATCTGGTACTTGAACGAAGACTATTGTTTCTACTTTCGAGGTGGGTGGCGGGTACGAATTAGAGATGGAGTCCAGTGCAGTCTATTGAATTCGTAAATCCATCGTAATTCCACACGAGTCATAGCAGAATTTGAAACAAGTATGACCAAATTGGGGATCAATAACTGGTGAGTGATCATCGCACAAGACTAAAGGTGCTTAGGATATGCATTCAACAATCAGATGCCAAACACAATTCCGTCCTCCGATTTCACCTCAATAATCAGGGGTGTGCATTATAAGTACGTCGAAGTCACTGACAGTCCATACTGCTGACACAGGCTGCTGCCCGTTGAATATCTCGGTACCTACATCTATGGAGGACCAAACTCGGGTGGCTGGTGGTGTTTCTGGATCCTGCAATTGGTATAGTCAAGGTACAAAACTGAGATACATCGACTTGCATTACGAGAAGTGTCTTCGGCCATCAAAAGCACCTCTAAGTTAGTGACAGCGATTCAATTGCATGTTCAAGTTCTTCGTGTATACAGTGCTTCAGATTGGTTGGTCATTGTGAAGCACTTCTTTCATGGTGTGCGACTAGTTGAACTTTTCAAACGCAAAAATTGTGAATTCAGAGGACAAGCTACAAATCACTGGTGCAAGTGTGAGGAATCTAGATTGGTGTCATACCTGGTAGAAATAGAGGCGGTTGGACAGGGCTCCGACGTCGAGTATCCAAGTACGAGGGTCACCTACCCACCCATCACCTTTCTTCTCTGGGTAGCCGTGTACTGCCCACTCAGGGTGTGGAAGCAATTGCATCAACTCTTGGGGCTGCGGATTGCTGAAGGGATCACATACAGAGAATGGCTTCTCCGCGTTTAAAGCATTGGGCGGGGAGCAGTAGAGATGGTAAGCCGTGTAAGGGAAGTTGTTTGTGTCGGTGCGAGGGATCCTCGTTCCATTTATCGCTGTATGATAGGGTGGACAAAGCGCTAAATTGTCCGGCCTGCATTCAGTTTGTACCACGGTAACCGGAAGTCAGAAGGTGAGGAAGAGAGTAGGATTTCAATTATTACAATCTATAAGAACTATGAAATTCGCATAGAGTGTGTGAGAGGGATTCTGAGATGAGAGGCACCGACCTACACCAGGATGGCGTTTGGGGATTGATTATCATTTCGACGTAACGCGTGACGTCTGTGTCCATATTACCATCGCAGGCTTCGCCAGAATTTTTCCAGCATCCACCGATGTCGATCAAGTAAAACTGACTCGCTCGCCCGCCGCCTTCTATCACATTTAACGTGACCACGACCTTGAAATTCGGCGAAGAAGGCACCTACAACAGAAATCTCCAGAGTGAGCTCCATTGCTTTGCACGATGAAACTGGTTAGCACCAAATTCAACGTTTATCGAAGAACATGCCACCACACCTTACGCATCATGCCGCGAGTCTCCCAGGGGTAACCCCCAGAGACGCCTGACGTAGCATCGGCTCTGAGGTACAGCATTAGCCATGGGTATTTCGGCGACACCGTCAGCTTGTGAGCGAAGATCCAGCTACCCGATGTCTCGTTCTTTGTCCACGTTACCGAGAAGTAGGACGCATTGCCAAAATCGTTGGAACCTATACTCTCCGCTTGATCCACGTCGTAGGTTCCATAAATAGATCCTGATAGTGTCGGTCGTGAGTCGCTTGCTTGCGACCCTTCGTCCACGGTTTCAAGAGGGTTGGACCAGTTCTGGAAGACCACCGGCTGATTCATGCATCCTGGGCCGAAGCAGGGGAATGCGCTCAACTCGGACTCATTGCGGGGATTGAAGAACTTCACAGGTTTCCCGGCAAAATTTCTGCATAGACTGGACGATTCATCGTAATTGCCATTCTTGAGCATGATCATCCAGAAATGCCAAGGCTCGCCAGAGGAGTTTTCCTCGCAGAGACTGGCTAAGTATTTCTCCTTCTCGACAACATACAAGTCCGCATCGTTGGATACTTCAAAGGTTCCGCTCGGGAAGCTCTCCCCTGTCTTTAAATTGTTGTCCAGGTCTGTTACTTGATGTTTGGCAACGCAGCGATCCGTTCCAGGGGCTACAAAAAACACTCAATTGGTTCAACGTTTGGCACACAATTTGAGCCAGTTCTTGGTAAACCGTAAACTTCACGCTGACGAACACTGAGCTGGGAGACAATGCGAGAAATGTGGAGCAAGAAGAAGAAGAAGAGGGAAGCAAGCATACTATGAGAGTTCCCGCAGTTGATGTCTGTGCAATCGGCCCAGCGAGGAGATGGAGCTGCTGGCGACTCAATTCCTACTCTGTTGCAAAAATTCCAGCCCTCCACAGCCACACGCACCTTCTCGCTCTTCATTCCGGGATCTCCCAACACACTTCGTCCCCGCGGCACCCTCAAGCTGGAAACTATACCCTTGTCCGCAGTGGTATAGGCTCCACCTAAGGGAATTTGCAACAGAATCAAGAGACATGACCCTGTTCGGAGGAGGAGCAAAGCACAACTCGCGATCTTCTGCATGTTACTCATTGTTGACGCGGGAGTCCACTTGCACTGTTTGCCAAGATGTTCGTCAAGAACAAAACCCAGAGACGAAAAGAGACACAAATCGATAGTTTATATTTGCATCAATTTGATGCTTCGGATTGGTCGTGATTACAGTGATGGCTCTGAAGATACAAAATCGCTTGAAATACAAAAATGTCCCTCGTTATACAGTAGTAGATACACGGAAATTTACTCGACATGGAATAGACGGCACCCAGTTTGGGAAGGTATCATTACAGCATACTGGTTTTCTCAACTTCTACGCTAAATATGTTGTTTTAACGTTGAAAACAAAGTATCAAAGCTGAGAATTTCTACCAATCGCTGTGCTCACCAGCGAAATTTCGATGAGCGGACATCAGATCCTCGTCTCGTCAGCTTCGACAACTGGAAGTAGACGGCTACATGTTGGTAGCCGGGTACTGCAATCTTCCTCCTCTGCTCTTTTTCTCAAATTTGAAGTTTCCTTAGAATATGATTCATATTCCTGAGAATACTGAAAATGGCCAATGAAGCTGCAGTACCTGCATTATTTGGGACTTAATGACATGCACATCTCTGCTCATAGATATGTTGTTCAGAGTCGTCGTTGTGCGGCTCTGACATGTTTCATAGTTCAAAGTTGGACTCAAGACATGGCCAAGTTCTTTGCAATCTTCGACCTCACTTCTCTCCCACATTTACTCAACCAGTTATCATCACTCCCTTCCAGCTTGTTGGCCAAGTTACCAACTCCTCGAGAAGTTAACTTTCCAATGTACCAATGAAACTATGAAAAATCCCGATTCTCAACAATTTTCCTCACCTGATAGCGTGATACGGCATGTCCTAATCAGTATCCAATCTTCCTCATCAACATCGCGTTGAAATAAACACTGCAACGCCTGTTATGCCCAGACTTGATACGAATACATAAGCCGCAATTATACAATTCTTACAGTTGAGCACTTCATGTGCTTGTACCTCCATGTCCCGAGAAAATGAAGATAACATCAATGGTGTCAATGAATATTAATTTATGGCAGTGCGACGTCCGTAGTGGCATTCACAAGAAAGGTGTTGCGAGCACTGCAAGGATTTTAGCCATCCGATACTCGGAACCTGAGGCCATATCCGACCACTTGGCGCCGATATGAATCAACCCATTCAATACTAAGGCAAAAGCAGGGTGGACATCTTAAGTGCATGTACTTGAGAAAGGAAACTTCTGAAGGTACTGACAATACATGTGAGGTAGATAGGGTGTCATGTCCAGTACTTGAAATGGAATGAAAACAAGTAATCCCGTGGAGCAAAACTAATAATGTGCATGAAGACTAATCCGTTCTAGAAAAACGAGACTTCTACTGGCTGAAATTGCTTTTAATACTTAGTGTCAACGCCATTTTCACGCACTAGTGCTGCTCGCCCTGTCCTACCCACCTGCCGGCATCAAATACAAGTTCAGTCTGGAAGAAAAAATATGCTTCAATACAAATATTGACATTGAATTTTAGCAATCTAGGTGAGGGTAAAGTGAAAATAGTAAAAGTACCAAGTGGGTCACATTTTGTGAATGTGAAGCTTGCCATTCTTACCTCAAGGTTACCAAAAGGCTCCAACTGTTGCAATGTCGATATCTTATCAAGGTCTCCAGTGACCTGTAATATATATAACACCACAGCTACATCATCACATTAAGTAATTGGGTTATGCAGGAGGAAATCTATGCACAGTCGATGCAGCAGCAACTTCGATAAGTGTTAGTTTTCTTCCTGAAAAGGGTTGATGTGTAACGTCTTGTACCTACTCACATCATTTATAAATAAATGAAGTATAAAATGATGCGCATTCCTTTACAAAACTACACTGCAGTTTCTGTAATAAGCGGTATGAATTCCTCAAAACACCATCCAAACTGTATCATGCAACAGCTTTGATTGCTCAATGTTGGGAATGCCAAGGATCAAAGTCAGGATAGGAAATCGAAGAACTCGTCATTTTACATTCGTACAGTAGTACAGGATTCGAAAATACGTGTGTCATAGTCAGGATTGACCAATCGCAAAAACACCCACAAGTTTTGGGGAGTTAGCTGAGCAGTTTCTTTATGGATTCCTCGTTATCAGGGACCGCTGTCAAAATCCGTGAGGGCATTGGAGTCTCAGCTGGTCCTGCAGCTAGGTTCTGTATTTTGGAATGAAATTTAGTAAAAAATCAGTGATCCTATCGCAGACTATGAGATTACTTCCAATCACATGTCTTTGTTGCTGAAGAAGCAACTTCACAAGAACTGCGTCCTGAATATTGTGAAAACATTTGTGCAACTTTTCTGGATTCATTAATTTTGACCTTTGAATTTGAAAGGGGACAGAGTATAGATCAGTAGGGGATCTTGTGGAGTGAGAAAAAGCAACCAATACAGACTGATCTGCATTCAAGTGTTTTACATCATAATTTTCTTCTGCCCATTAAAAATACGACCAGCATCGACAAAATCAACCTCACCGTGCAAATACTCCAGTAACTCTGTTGGGCACCCCAGCTGCATCATTCACCAACATTGCAGACATGTGGGAGATGGAGCTGCTAGGCAGACAACTGAAAGGCACACAATCGGCTCAATAGGAGTCGTCTTAGAATATAAAGTTTTTTGCATGAATAAAAAACTGAAAATTAGTTCAAATAACTAGTGATCACCAAGGTTCTTAATACTGAGTTCGACAACGTTTCGAAGGCATAATATGTTGAAGATTCTGCACTGACGGAAGTAGCCTGGTCAAATAGGTACTTCAGTATAATTAGTGACTGAATTCCAGAATCCATACAACAAAATGAAAAAACGTTCTCCAATGTAATCAAAATTCAGTTAGCAATGAACATCACTGCATAAACATCACCCTGAACAGCGTTCAAGGTTTGAAAATCAATGACATTGAGATCCTTCTCAGATTTGCCACTTACTCACAGTATGCGCACAGTGGAAATAAACAAAAACCCTAGATATCCAAGACATTCAAAACAGAAGAATCTTAAAAAAAATGTCATGGTCATGAGAACAGCTTTATCTTTACGAGTGTTGCAATGGACTCATTCCGTATCTTCAAAATTACGGCAGATTGAAGTCTCACATCTGAGGCCGGGTTCTAGCTCTTAGGGGTAGGAAAAAAATCTTTGATTGTATCGGCCCAAGCAGATGAAGTTTCATCATAGTCATCAGATCAGAACATGGGTGAACAGAAAACGCAAAACAAGGATTCGACAAATATCGATTCTAACTGTGATAAACTTTTGATGGCAACCTGACAAATTCAACTAGCTACAAGAGATTTGAGCCCAGTAGTTGTGTTAGTTGATTCATGAATTCATGTTCTGTGGATTTTGGCCAAACCTCAGCGAGCTAGAAATCTGAGTTCGGACTGAGTTGCATTCAATCAACGATCACCGTTGTTTGACCTCCAGGTTCCACACATCACTGCTCTTCCGGTATTGTTTATTCATTTGTGTGATTGGTGTGCAGCTTCTACTGGGTATGAAGTTTGATCCTTGCCGTTATCAACGTCGGATGCAAATTCCCATGAAAGCATTTTCAAGGTGAGGTTACGTCACTATGCACTTCATATCTCTACAATCTACTCACCATTGTGTTTTAGGCAATCATGTTGTGTTAGAGGAAGGAGAGATGCGGCTTTGGAGACGGTGTGAGGCAACAACTGCAATAGGGATGTAGTAGAGTTCTTAGTTGAACTTTGAGACTGCTGCAATTTCAGGCGATTTTGCAGCCGTTACGTTCAATGAGAGCAGGTGTTAGAGTGAGGTTAAGACCCCTGAGTTTGAAGGGGCAGCATGTATATATATATATATATATGTATACACCAACGGTCACGTCCACATTGTCGAGCACCCCATCACGCTTGGCACTAAATACTTCTGAATTGTTGGGGCGAAGAAGCGTTCAGACATTGCCCCAGCGCTTGACAGTGAGCTGAGGATGGAGATAGCCTACGCAACCATCTATCTACGATTGTGCCAGTTTGAGAATTCCATCAGGCGCTCTGATTTTTGTAAGTCTACTCTGTGTGCTAACTAAAAATCTCCAAATTCTACATAAAAGTCTCATTTAGGGTTAGGGTTTATGTGCTCAGGTTATGAATCACGAAATCACCACTTCATGCCTTCACTGATTTCGAGTATGCGTTTTCTACATCTGCTTTGCATGAATAAGAAATGAGCACGCTAATTTGGAATGGAAATCCTGAACGCCCTTCTAAAATTTGGTTGATTTCTGGTGTCGGCTGGAACCTAAAGAATCAGAATTAAATAGTCTGTCGCTTTCAGATTTCGAGTTGATGCGGGCAGAATAAGCTCCGGCCCTCAGACCCTAAACCTGGAAGTTACAACTCTCGGCATTCTAATCTTTGCAAGGGTAAATGCTCTGCTCTGCTCCTTAGACTTCGGATTCAAGTTGAAACTTGAGTGTTATTACTTAGGTCATGTAATTGTGGGCGACCCTTCTCCTGGAGGCATTGTGCTGATTTTCTGGTGATTACTGTGCATTGCTAGCATGTACGAATTTTGAATTTCAATCTAAAAGTTGTCTTAACACGAGCATGATTTTTTTATCTGTTATTAATATTCCTAATTGTTGTAGCTATTACATTTGTTCGACAACGCCTTTCTGGTACTAGACTTTATCCAGAAGTGGAGCTGGACATTTCCTCGACTCCAGCTGGTTGTCTCTGTTGCATTCGTTTTGGGGACAATCAAGAAGGAGCTTTTCAGATCGTCTGCAATCTTAACTAGGCATTTCTTTCGTGCAGCTCATGAACAAATCTGAGATTCAGATCCGGTGAAGCAGCCTTCCTGGCAAAATATTCCTAAGTCGGTGGGTGGTGGGACAATGTATAGACGGTATCTGAAGCCCTGTACTTATAGATTTCATCACGAGTTTAACTCTCAAGATGTATTTGCTTCGTGCCAATCTATGCTTCGAGGGATTTCTCCCACGTTCTGGAGGCGGGCTCAGGTTCAGAGACGCAGAGTTTTCACCAGTTCTTCTCATTCATGGCTTAGTTGTCAAGGTTTCGACTGCATACCTAGCATACCCTCTGCTCTGCTATTGCTTAGGCAACAGAGATTGCTCGTAGGACATGCTCTCAGGGGCTACATAACCACGAGTGCCGGTGTAATCAATCCATCAAGGCAAAGTTTGTTTCCGCAGAAGGAAAGATTATTACGGATATCATCATCGTTCACTCGCTCCTGCAGTGACGAGCGTGGTACAGATGGCAAGAGCCAAGCAGACGTTTCTTCCTCAATTGGAAGTGGCGGGGATAACTACAAAGGTGCTGAATATGTTATGGCCTGTAGTAGCGGTGGTGAAGATGAGAGTGATGAGGGACTAAAGTGGCGGCACTCGGCAACGACTAGTGGGAATCAGGACGAGAGCTCTATTGAAAGTTTTCATCATGATAACCAGGACTCATTGTATCTGGCTCAGAAGGCTCGATTCAGGAAGGCTTTTGAGGAGCGATTGCAGAGATGGGAGGATGCGAAAGTCACTCTGGAAGAATTTCCACATTATTTGAGGTGAACATTGCTCTTTCTAAGGTTGGTAGACTTGCTATTTGGTAGACTCTTTGGGGCTTAGCTTTGGAGTTTGATACACTTGTGAATCATATACTGTTGCAATTTACTATATTCTTAGTATAGTCCGCTGGTCTTGTAGTTCCTTGCCTTCTTATATTCTGTTCAAGGAACGCACTGATCTGCAACGTACATTAGATTGTATGTATTTTTGTACCCAATTGTGTAAGTTGGTCTGAGTGGAGGAATGATGGCAGTGAAACTACACGAGATCTATTGGTTGATTGTGCAGCCGCACATCTGCGGCAACCCCTCTATGCAGAATTTGGTTCAGGGTTGTCCTATTCCAATCGCCGCATCTGCTTACGTGGCTCAACCGGTATATAAAACATTTTTTTAAGTGCCATGAGAGGTGATGAATTCTTTGTATTCAGCTTGAACCTTTTAGCGTTTAGCGAACTAAAAGTTGTGCATCATTTGTGGGTTGCATTTATCATTGAGATGAAATGCAGTAACTTTACGTGATTTTGAGTTCAAATCTGGTTTAAAATCTGTATGTGCTTGATATTCGTACTGTATGCAAGTGGTGAAACACTTTCCAGATTGCAAATAGGTATTGTTTTGAAATGGCTTACATCCTTCTGAGGTTGGCATAATGTTTCAGGAACTCTTTTGTATCAGGAGAGATTGGTGGAGGCACTTGCTCACCATCTTCAAGCGCCATTACTTGTGCTCGACAGCACCTCTCTTGCTCCCCATGTAAGCCACCGTTACTGACACATTCCTTTCAGCAGTCATAGATAATCGTCTGAAAGATACGCACTTCATTGCCTCCTTGTTTTGGTTCAATTAAACGTTTTGTCTGTAATTTTTCTTTGTTTCTCCTCGGAAGAGGATTTTAGTTTCTAGTAACTTTATCTGTTTTTCCAGCTGTTACGGCTTCGCTGGTATGTTGAGCTTTTAAACATCTTTATTCAATCAAAATATGGTTACATGAGCTGAGGTAAGAAAGCCGCATTTTATGCAGGACTTTGGAGCTCATGAGTTAATTTCTGCCTCTAGTTCTGATGGGTCTGATTCAGAGAACGAGAGTACGTCAGCGTTGAGTGACGGAGAGAAAGACGAGGGTATTAGTGAGAGGATGAGGGGGGCCCGTGATGTTAAAGTGGATGTGCTGCTAGAGGTAGCTGCTGATTCGGTTCAAGTTGAAAGACAGCATGCTTCTATGAAGGTATTGATGATCTGATTTTGTTCTATGCTTCTTGACTGAAGGTCGTGTAATCTGATGGATAAGTCTCTACGAAGAGTTTTTCTTTCCCTCCTACGTCAATAGAAGTAACAAATATGGAACCACTCGACGCTGACTTGTCAATTTTCCTGTTATCTTCTAAGATTTTGGTCCCATATTAGAGCATTTGAAGGGGTCATCCATGATCAAAAAAGTTGATTGTTATAATCTATCTATTCAGGGATAGGTTGTAGAAAATTGTCAGTATCGCTTTGTGATTTGTTCGTTGGATATTAGCTTTTCATTTGCTTCATTCTCCTTTTTTATCACAGGAAACAATAGTGGAGGGAAGTGGAGAGAAACAAGGGCGTGGAAAGTCTGCTGGTTGGAAAGAAAATAGAGGTATCACATCTTTTCTTTCTGAACCAGTTTTCATCGTCTCTAATAACCAATCGCTATTCCAATCGAGAACTCCGAGCTTGCGATAAATGGTTGTGACATGGAACGTACTTTTGAACCTTGCATTTATTCATATTGGTTAGACACGTTGCAAGAGCTGTTCATAAGCAAATAAATAGTGACAATTTGAAGGTGACAAGGTACAACATGTTGATTTGGGGTAAATACCACATGGTTTTGGTAGGCTCACCCAGTATTGACGACTTACAGTTGATTCCCTCAATTTTCATACCCGCTCAAGTTTGGCCAGTCCTGCTCAGGTCTATGTGATGAACTTGACTGCCTATTGAAGATGTAGTGTCTACTTTTTACAGGTAGCCGATGAAAAGGTCTTTCAAAACTGGCATTTTAATTTTTTTTTTTTTTTTTTTGTGGGAATCACACAAGACTCGACTGTGTTTGCTATTTCCTCGAAATTGAGTTCAGTGGTTTGTGCTTTGGCTGGACAGCATCAGCTCTCTCGCCTGGCAACGTTTCTGCAGCTGATCCATGTGAAGAATGGGTAGCTGCCATTGATGCTCTTTCTGAGGTACGAACTTCAGGATTTGGGTACATAAAATAATACTTCTGCATCTATTATAAAACTTCAGAGGGATTGCTACGTATTTGGCTTTCGATACGTTTCTGATCAAAGCTCGATTTCAATGAATGGATGGTCGGTGTTCAGGATTTTGTTTATTTCATGCGTGATTGCCTGTTTGGTTTTTTGCTTAGCGGTAGTTAACAATTTTCGTAGTCAAAGCAACAAGTTTTTAACCAACATTTTTCTAACTTTTTCTGTTTGTAGATGTCATCACGTTCGAAGCCTATGGTGATTTATTTTCCAGATCCTAGGCATTGGTTTGAGAGAGCTGTTCCATTAGATAGGAGGCAGGAGTTTTTGGAGCGCGTAGAAGCAAAACTGGATCAAATTGAGGGTCCTATTGTTATGATTGCCAGCCGTTTATCTGACGAGAAAGCGGAAGTTGATGACCGGGCAAGATTGGTACGTTTTAATGTTTTTTATTGTCTAAATTTCGGCGTGGGCATGTGTAAAAATAAACAATATGATGTACCATGTAGCCTTGTACATTTTTTCTCTTACAGCTGAGCTTCTTCTGTTCATGAAAAGATCTGTTGAGCTTTAGTTGGCATCCACTTATAGATTGATAATGCTGTCAGGACTGTGTTTTAGGCGCTAGTATTGCCAATTATTAAAATACTTAGCATTTCACATAGTCAACTGAAGCAATTACTTTTCAAGGCTTCTTTTGCTAGATTAGTGATACTTGAGGATATTCAATCTGATCCTGTATCTCATAATACACAATTCTTGCTCTTTAACTTATGTCCAAATTGTAATTGTCCTTAATGCCCTACCGTCAGTGTCCCAGTCACTTGACGGTTTTTCAGAGCTGTGTAAGTCTATTTCTGATTGTTAACTAATATGTGGCAGAAAGCTCACTTGGAAGATATTCGTTCCCGCCTGGTATGTTTAACTTTGTCAGTGCATACAAAGACTTAGATTTTGCTATCTAGGAAATATTCTAGACCTAGGACTCCTTCATGATGGTCGTTAATGTATAGGTTATTTGCCTCTTTTCTCATATTTAGCACAGGCTCATTAATGTCAATTGCAGAATCAAAGAACATCAACCAGATGGGTATTTCGGGATTTACTGGGAAGTGAAGATGTTTACGAGCTTTTTCCCAATCATATCAAAATTTATCCTCCAAAAGTGAGTGTTCGAACTCCTGCAGCTTTCAATCTACCAGTGCATTTAAACTGTAGGGATTGGCTTCCTACAATTCCTTCAATAAATAGCTTGACGTTGGAGTGTTTTCAGTACATATTTAATTTTATGCATTGAGATCATGTATAGGAGGATGGAATGCTGCGCGAGTGGAAAAAGCAATTATTAAAGGATAAGGAGATCAGTCGTGCTAAACACAATATCGGGCAGCTACGTGAGGTTAGCCTTTGTGGTTTTTATATAAGAAATCATACTTCATAAACTTGTTTTCAGTTTTAAAAGCTGTGGATACACGTTGAAGACTAAATTTTACCATCCCGCGTTTTTCCTCAGGTTCTGGAAACAAACTATATGGACTGTGAGGGTCTTCCCGCATTGAACTTGTTGGGTCTCGACCTCTCTAAAACCAGTAAGACTATTATGCTCCATATCTTCATCGTGGGTTTGCGTGGCATAAAGTGATTTGTCGATCAGCCTTCCATGACTGGGGGTTTTTTATTCAACCAAGATCATAAATGAGCTATTGCAGATTTTTGGAGCTGCGCTGCTTGCGCACTGCTTGCTTACATTATAGTATAGTAGAATGGCTTTTGTTGTTGAAGGTCGAGTTTTAGTACCTATATGTCTTTTAAGGACGTCATCTTACTGGTAGTACGTACTACTTGTTATGAACATCTGCGTTCTTCTCCAGGTTTTGTTTCAGGCTAGACAGGTCTTTGTCCTGAGCTTACGTGTCTCCTAGATTTATTCTGAAGGCATTAGCAATAGAATGACAGTTTCTTGGAAGGTAAGACTAACAGTTATGTTCACAAGGTTGGATTTTATTATTGCTCACTCTGGCTGTGATGTTGGGGATATATGTGCAGAGGCTGAGAAAGTTGTAGGATGGGCTAGGAATCATCATCTTGGAATGTCTCTGTTTGATCCTCCCACTAGCAATGGCAAACTTATGATCCCTCGGGATAGGTTGTACACTCCTCTATGTGAACATTTTTCCAGTTCTTGTATTTAAATGAGAAATATCCACATAACTTTGAAATTTACGTGAACGAGGAAATGAAGATCTGGTTGTTCTTGGATGTCCGAAAAATCTCATTACAATGGTTGATCTTTTTTTCTGTTTCTTCTTCTTCTTTTATTTTTATTTTTAGTTTTATTTCTTTTCTCGTATTAGGATTAGCAAATTCCGTCTTCTAACTTCATATCTTAGCTTGTACCATAATTTTGTGGGATGTTGAAGCATCTTCATCATATCATGTTCCTATTTCTAAACATCTAACATTTCATGATAGAGGCATCCCAAGTTAAAGTGAGTAGGATTATAAGTTTCAAACATTGATATTGTCAAGTGCTCATAAATATAGTGTGTTGAGCGCAGTATGGAAAGAGCACTTACGAGACTGCGGGTCCAAGAAAATAAAAAGCCCCCAAGCATTGTAAAAGATTTCAAGGTATGGATTAGGAAACATCAAAGTATCATGGCAAATTGCACTTTAACATCCGGCTCTAGATTTTTTTTGAGGATTTCTTTTTTTTTTGCAAGTGTGGGGTTTCTTCACTGGCATTGTCTATTTCTTGATTAGTTAGATAATTAGATCCACATTTTCAAAAGCCATGTCTTAATCTTCTTGCAACATGCGATCGGCATGATAACGTATCCAGTGCAATTCAATTCAAATATTTACAGACAATGAGTTTCACTTTTGAACCACAAAGGATAGCAAAGATGACGTCCATTCTTTTATAACTAGCGTTCCTAGTCCCTTTCGTTCCCTCATTGTTGTAGACTACATTTTCAGGGTCATCTAGTGTCTCATCTTATTTCTTAATGGTTATGATGGCAGACAGTTGCAGAAGACGAATATGAGAAGGCGTTGATCTCGGCGGTCATACCCCCGAATGAAGTGAGTGTGAAATTTGATCACATTGGTGCGCTTGAAGATGTAAAAAGTGCCCTCAAGGAGCTTGTTATGCTTCCCTTGCAGCGTCCAGAACTATTTTGTAAAGGAAATCTGACTCGGGTATTCTCACAATTCCTCTATCCAACATTTTCTAGCATCAACAGACATTCAGTGTTTTGATACCAGAGGGCACGTGAACGTGGACAAAAGAACCGTCATGTGCCTCTTTATGTAGCCCGTTATGTGTACTGTGTGGCTGTCTTCGTTCTTATGTGACAAACGGGGGCATGTTGGACAGCCTTGCAAAGGAGTTTTGCTTTTTGGACCTCCAGGTACAGGCAAAACTTTGCTAGCTAAAGCAGTGGCTACAGAAGCTGGCGCCAACTTCATCAATATCACGGGTTCTACAATCACCTCCAAGGTTCTATACTGAATTCTAAACAATATATTGTCTCATTTTACTTTCGTACGAAATCATAATTTACCTCGCTACTCATGGAATAGATCATTGCATGATTGGTCTCTTTATGTAGGAAATGGCTGCTGCAAGAACCTTTTATGTATCCTGTTTCCTATTTCAGGTCTAGATATTTGGTATTCATACATACTCGATATTCTTTTGCAGAACACCTGTTTTAAAAACTTCTCTTGAATAGGTTCCTTGCCTCATTGCCTGTTTCTGATACTGTGTATGTCTTTTGGTGTCCTCTTTGTGCAGTGGTTTGGGGATGCGGAAAAGCTGACTAAATCTTTGTTTTCTTTGGCAAAAAAGCTCGCTCCCGCTGTTATTTTTGTTGATGAGGTGAGAAAATTGCGTTCCCAAAATTTCTTTGGACCACCATTACTTTTCTCTTTTAGTTAAACATTGTGGTTCTGATTAATTCTAGGTACATGAAGGTCGTGGTGATAACCTCAAGTTGTGTCCTGTTTGCTGTGTTATTCGGAAAATGCATATCCAAGGCCTCCAAACCTAGTTATGTTTCAAGTTTTGTGCCCTGAGGTAGCTAACGTTCTGTTTTCAAGGTTCATCCTCCATCATCACTTAACAAGTACAATGGCAGGTGGACAGTTTATTGGGGGCCAGAGGCGGTAGTTCCGAACATGAAGCCACCCGTAAGACTAGAAATGAATTTATGGCCGCCTGGGATGGGCTCCGCTCAAAGGATAATGAACGAGTCTTGGTCTTGGCTGCTACAAATCGGCCATTTGACCTTGACGATGCTGTGATCCGGAGATTACCAAGGAGGTAAAAACTCCCTACTATCATTTGATCGGAAACCAATGAGCCAAATACTTAAATCAAATTCAAGAAATATGTTTGTATCCCTAACGTAAGTATTAATTAATTGTACAAACGTGTGTCAAGAAAAGCGGTTCATTTTAAACATGAGAATCCTTGTTGAACAGAATATTAGTGGACCTGCCGAACACAGAAAATAGAGTGAAGATCTTGCGTGTTATATTGGCTGATGAAGAACTTGAGGAAGGGTTTGACTTCGAAGAACTATCGCGCATTACGGATGGGTATTCTGGAAGTGATCTTAAGGTACTTCATTGCTGCAACCCTTGTTGTATAAGGATGCCGGGTGCAGATTTGTGTCTCAGACATCAGACGTCGCCAAATCTCTCTTTATCTTCCTTTGTTCGAGTAGATTGTGTAATTATTTTTTGTGTGGTTTGATTACCTTCCAACTCTAAGTGGTTGTCGATAATACTCACCTTTAAAATCTGATATTTGGCATTTGCCCTGATATATTAGAATCTCTCTATAGCTGCTGCTTATCGCCCCATAAGAGAGCTTTTACTGTATGAAGAACAAGAGGTATCAATTTCTTCTTTTATTCATGAGTAAAGTTCACTTGGTGTTATGTGAAGATAACTGTTGAGCTGTCTTGGCAGTTCAATTCAAATATGAATTTGATTTGTCATCTGTACTTCTGAGATCTGGAGTAAAGGTTGTGAAGTCAAATATGAGCTCTCTTAATGTGTGGCCATTTTTTTGAAAAGGATAAACTAGAAGGAACTGCTGCCACCAACCGTGCTCAATCATCAGCAGTGATCAGACCCCTCAGATATGATGATTTTAAGCAGGCGATGGCTCAGGTCCTTGCTCAAAACTTAAGCTTTTCTCATGAAATTTGCATGTGCTCGAAAGCTGAGTTCATGGGATATATAATTATCCGAAACTGTGTACTTTTGCATCGTGACATGTATTTTGTTTCAGAAAGCTGGTAGGATAATTGATGTACCGTGAAATTATATTCATTTGGTTATTACTAGTTATAATCATTCGGAAAATACTGCCGCCTTGTGTGTTAGGCATATATAGTTTCTTCTTTGTATTGTCTTCCCGCAACATTAGACAAGCTTAGAGTATCAGTGACTAAACAACTGTATTCCATGGATCATCACCGGAAGAGAACTCCTGCTAATTTCGTATCAATTCCCTTAACTACTATTTTTGCTTTAGCATGCCTCACTCGTTTGGGTTCACTAATTCTTGAGAAACAATTCACAGGTAGGCGCTTCAGTAGCTTTTGCTGCCTCCAGCATGAACGAGTTGCGGCGATGGAACGAACAGTATGGAGAGGGTGGCAACCGCAAAAAATCCACTTTTGGCTTTGGGGTATGAGGACTTCATTTTGATATGGCAGCCCAGCTTGAGGAGGCTCCTGGGAACCCATCCACCTCATCTGAGCATATTTGTGGATCAAACCTCCGTAGTGAACTGTAACCGATTGCCATGGCTTTTATGATAATCTAAAGAGCTCATTCATTCGGGATATGTTATCGACTATGCAATTATAAGTCTTGAGGGAATGTAAAGGACATGTCACTTTAAATCAGCTCACTCACGTTTTGAAACCAGGACTTCGTTGAGACTTGGAGGTGGTCTCTTGCTAAGCAGAGTCTCAGAATGCACTGCAGTCCTACGTGTTGCACTTCCACGTGAATTGGCTCCTAGTTTAGTGGAATTCTGTATCTCGTGGTGGTAGTGAGAGTTGTCAAACATTAAGCTACATGAAATGACCTTTATGGGCATTTTGCTACTACTAAGCACATGAAACTTTCAGGTAGTTGTTTGAAGTACCATTTCATACCCAAGATGGGAACCATATTGGTTTAGGATCGCTTGTGAAGTATCCGCAAGTTTCTTCTACGTAATGGGGTAATGCATAGTCTTGCAGTTTTAGAACTTACTCCATAACTATCACAAGTAAAACAAGTTGTGTAGGATCTTGCATTTGCATTCCAAAGCAAAAGTTTCTACGTTGCGCAGTTCGTGTAGTTTGTGGTGGCCGTAGCCCTGTGTTGCTGTTGGATATGTTAAGATGGATGTGTGCCATATACATCACAACAAATCATCAGAGTTCACAAAGTTTCCTCTTCTAAGTAAAGGCAAAAACAATAAATGATCCAATTACGTACAGGATTTAGCAATTACAGTTCAACATTCAAAATTCCTCGAATTACACAGTCAACAAATTCTAGCAATAAAAAGGACATTATCTTGGAAACAAAATGACATGTGAAATGACTAAAACCATCACGTTGTATAATACTCGTTGAAATACGATGATGTCCGGTACACACCCTGATTGATATCTGGGCTTCCCGTGTATGTGCCCCAGGACTCCGAGGCTTTTGTGACTCGCTCCCTCATCTGCTGGGGGATGTTCCCAGGTCTGCTCGTCTGTTTCCAAGGATTGCTTGCATCTATTCGCATCAATTCGCATCAATCCGACCACTTTGGTTTCGGTTACTCTTGCGTGGGCCTTGATTGAATTGGGTTTGTGAGTGATTGGAAGGGCAGGTGGTTTTTTCTTTCTCTGATCAGTTTGAATTGGACAAAGAGTCACATGGAGAGAGGTGGAAAAGGAGCACGGAAGTGGGCCGTCGAGCTTCACGATGCTGCGCACTCCTCCTCTTCTAAAGACCTCCCTCCCGATCCTCTAGGATTCTCGCGCTCTATGACTGATCCGGTATGGTGGCGTTTGATTTCGGGATCGTTATGGATTAGGGTTAGCAGATCTTCATAAACATGTCCATCGTCGACTGCTATGTATTGAATTCTTCGAGTGTTGATTGGATTCTTTTGTGGGGTCTTTTAGGAAGAGACCGTCTCTGGGAAGCAGAAGAAGGAGAATGAGGCATCGTGGAAACAACATGTATGGTTTTCCCGTTAAGTTATTCTACTGTCAGCTTTTTTGAGGGCCCTAATTTTTTTGAATTTTTTTAAAGGCGTGCTCTTTTCATTATTGTAATGTTCCGGTCCACTTGGAGTAGTTATGAATTGACGCCTTTTGGTATGCAGAAAGCATGGGAGGCAGCTCAAGCTCCTGTGAAGAATCTCTTGATGATGGGGTTTATGATGTGGATGGCTGGAAGCACCGTTCATCTCTTCAGTATCGGCATTACCTTTTCTGCGTTGTGGCAACCAGTTAGCGCTCTTCAGAGCATTGGCAAAGGTATGCACCTTGTTTGGCACTTCCCAAAACCGTTGATTAACTAGCAGCCAAGTTTCCCACTGTGTACTTGTAGTAGAAATTATCAGAGGATGTAGCAATGCTCGCTGATATTTCAAGTGCTAGAAGTAATGCTATTTTGATCCTGATCACTACCATTTTGCGAACCTACCGTACTTGGACGCCTGCAGCGAGCCCCATAAATATAATGTAAATATATTCTCGAGCATATTTAATTTTTACGTTATTTGAGAATTTATGTATTTAGTGACTATTTGGATATTTCAGATTATTGCTAACCTTAAGTAATGTGATTACGTAGACGAGGATGAGAAACCCTTTCATGGACATTTTGAATATCACCATGTTCAATTTCTTGTTTTTTAAATTGATACGAACCATAATTTCTGGTTCACTCCGCTTTTCATGCGATTGTTCACTTGTATCTTTATTCAATACTAAACCTTGAAGAATAGCATTTGTGTCGAAAGTAATAATACTGAATTAAAACATTGGTTGCAGTTTTTGAACCTTTTCAGGACGCCAATACTAGTCTCTTGTTACCAAAGGTTGCATTTACTGCACTGAACCTAGCAGCTATGGGACTTGGTCTATGGAAGGTGAGGAGTTCTTTCATGATGTATCCTTTTCGTTTGTCGATTTTGTGAGTATATTGGGTAGTTTTCCCACATTTTGTTGTATTTGATAATAGTTAAAGTATTCATGAACAGATTTTGTCACTTATCTTTCTGAATTGAACATAGATTTACGTAACAGTTTGGTGTTGCAGTTGAACACTTTAGGTCTCCTACCTACTCATGCCTCCGATTGGTTATCCAATCTTGCACCTCCTCAGGTTTTTCTCGAAATCCAGTCATTTCCTCCAGTAGTCGAATTTCTCAATCGCAGCCGAACTTTTATGCATCGAACGATATTTTTAGTATTATTTTGTAATCATTTGTATGTATTCTTGGAACTAGGCTTCTAATTTTTTGCATTTTTGTAGTTACTGGTGCATTATCATTTGATCATTGGAGACCGTTGTACAAGTTGCACTTGAATTGAGTCGTCCAAGTCGTTATATTTTATTGAGAATTATTTGAATGGAAATAAGTGTCTCATAACAGCTACAATCTTTTCGTTTTCAAAAAGTGAGAGTAGCTGTTTACTGCAGCTCTCGTACCTCTTGTACCTCTTGTACCTCGTGCATCACACTCTCTTGTGGAAGAATCTAATTATGCTGTTTGTGTGCCACGTACAGTCCGTGGAGTTTTCAGGAGGTGGATCATCGATTCTCTTGTAGCAGGGTTTTGGTTTTTTTGAATCCCGGCTAGTGAAGTTATCTCAGCCTTAGCACAAGATAGACTCTTTTTCAGATGTTGCACGCTTGGAAATGGCTCTCATTTATCGTTCAAAATTAAAATGCGTCATTCAAACTGAAGTTTCGCAGACACAACTGATTGGTTTAATGATGGCTTATGTTTTGGAATCAATCAACTACTCTTTGTGTATCATCATGCACCTTGTGAACTTCATTTACTTTGATTTGAGATTTGATGATAAACAAGCAGGACTATACGTGGTATGGGTAGCTAGGTATGTTTCCACATGAGAATAGTCTTAGCTTCCAATGACCAGTAAATCAAACTGAAGCTTGGGTACTACTCAGTTTACACTGTTTGTCATCTGCTGCTATCGTAATAATGAGTCATTGTGGCAGCCACCTTGTGGGGATAAATAGCTTCTTGTCCGATTACACGTGGACCACATTTCCATTTTTGGAATGTGAAATTGAAAGGATTTTGATTGTGTGGTGGTCTTCACATGGTTGGAGGATATCATCTCTAATTTAAGAAATTCTACCTTTCATAAAAACTAGTTTGGTTTGGAAGATCGTACCTACTGATATCATTATATCAGTCATTTCTTGTGTAAATTACTTATATTTTCTCCATCAGTATTTAAGTTTCGACTCTGTAATAGACAATGCATTTGTTTTGTCTTTCAATATGCCAGGATTGGATTATGTATATATTAGCTCGTATCATTATTTTCATAATTTCTCACCGTGAGTTGCCTTGAAGAATTGCATTTGTAGTTGTGAGATGAAAATGATTATACAGATATATATATATATATATATATGCACAGACTCAATTTTCAGGCTGACATAAAGCAATGATTTATAAAGAGATCTATGTCATGAACTGGATTAATCGTTATTGTTGCTTGCATCCATTTTCAAATGTATGAAGATGTAGCCACCAATTCACTAATCATCAAAGTAAAAAATAATTGATATTAACTTGCCACAAATACAACTCACGACTTTGCAAAAAAAAATAAAAAATAAAAAATAAAAAATTGGAGGTAAGAATGTTAAAAAGGTATTTGTAATCGAAAGAACATATACTTTAGTATATGTGAGTATATCTACACACATATGGCTTTTAATCTAAATGATAAATAAGACTTCAGAGGAGATTTGACAAGCATAGACTTAGCCTTGCATGTATGAATGTTTTTCACAAGGCCACAAGGTTTTGGTTTAAGGATGAAGTTTGTTACTATCTAAACTACTAAGAAAATACTTTAAGGGGCTTCTCAACGAATTTCAACTTTCACCCTTTATTAGAAGATCTTAAAATATTTTTAATACGAAATTGAAAAACATTTGATCTATTTGAAATAAGGATTAAAACTTGAAGTAAAGAAAAAACTTTGTTTTAGGTTAGAAAGAAGAAAATCTATAACTAAAAATAATTATGTTATTAAATTTGCACAATAATTTTTTTCACAAGAATTAACATCAAAATTAGTTAATGAACATCACACAAAATTAATAGTATAATAATATTATTAAAAAAATATATTATAAAACCTATTAAATGAGATCTAACAACAAAAATCAAGTTTGTAAAGTTTAAAGCATATAATTAAAACTAAATTGTTTTTAACAATTTATTAAATAATTTGGTAATCTATATATATATATATATATATCCATACATACAATTGTATTATTGAAAATAAAATCATTGGAGATATTTATACATTTGTACTAATAGAAAAAAGTTTGTATCTTTATGAAAAAATTAATTAATTGTGTAGAATCCAAATATATACTTAATAAATACCATATTTTTATTTTTTTCTTCAAGTAATTACTAATTTTTAAATATAATTAAATTAAAATCCAAGTATATGTGATTTATTTTTATTGTTTTATATATATATATATATGAGAATATTAAATAGACTCAAGTTTTTATTAAATCGACTCAGTCATCTTAACTATCATGAAAAGTAAAAATGACTTCTAGATTCATTTTTCCATTGTTGAATTTGCAACCAATAAAAACCAACCACATTCATTATGATTATCATATTTTTTCCTTGAAGGTGGGTATATTTAATAAAAGCATGGGTCTATTGAACATTCCTTTATATATATATATATATATATATATATATATTCATTCTAAATATTAACAACAACTATATCAATGAGTTACATTATTATACAAGTATATAACTACCATTTTGCTACAACACTAAAGGGGAAATAAAAAATTAAAATTATGCAATCAATTGTGAAGAATGTACAAAGTAGCATTACATTTATCTTAACAAAAAGAACACAATCTCTTCTAACCAAATTCTTTAAAAAATTAAAATTAAAAACAAGATTTTGCTAATGCCACCACAATTTTTACTAATGTCGCTATGGTTACTATTAATAGAATAAAAAAATACTAACAAAATATGTAAAGTGGGTGGCGGATTGTGATGCTAGTAGTAAAAAATTTAAGATAGTCTTAGCAATATCCAAAAGACATAATTAACTAAAGAATTTACATAATCATATATGATGCCTGATTGTAACATCAAAATCCAACCACATATGAGTTCAATGGTCTTTTTTGACCTATTGTTCTACCAAACCATTTATAAAAAACGGTTATTTTTTTTTTCTATTTTTCTTTATTCAATACAACAACAAATAAATATATACACATACATCCATGATGGATGTGTGTATGAGAAAGAGAAACCACATACATATACAGATGGAATCCAAATATGTACTTGAATAATATATATTAGTAGCGTGATTCTTTGTAAGTTGTGGGTAGAATATGGATTAGAAAAGGATGGAGGGTAAGGGAGCGCCAATCAAGGGGAAAGGGAAGGGGGTAATAAGGGAGCGAGGGAGGGTAGCTTGAATTGTAAGCAACCCCGCGGAATTAGGAGCGTCCTCCGTGGCCACAGCGCCCACGGGGACACACAACAATAGAACACAACACAACAGAACACTCTGGACCGGGCCCACGTGGCAACCCAGCTGGACACATCCCGCACGGTGATGCCGATCCCAACCACGAGAATTCAGGATCAGGTCACCGCGCTCCGAGCCCCCCCCCACCACCCGCACCCACCACCGTGGAGCCCTAATTATCCCTCGTCTCGCCAAGTCTGGTCAAGTCTCGTTCTATCAACGACGACGACGACGTCGTGTGTGAGTGTGTCGGAGACCAATCCCCCCCCCCCCGCACTTCGGATCGGCTTGGCTCTCACTTGCTCTCCTTGATTGAATGTGTGCTTGCTCGCCCTTCCTTACTCCCTCCCTCCCTCGGGCTCCCTTCGCTAGGTCCCCCGATCGATCGATCGGTCTGTTGATTGATTGTGCTCGGTGAGTGCCCATGTGCCCTCGTGCTGCTCTTGCCGCTTTCTTCGCCTTCGCACCCGCATCGCCTCTCTCTTTCCTATCCGCGTATCGCTCTCAGTTTCCCTGTTCCCGGGGGGGGTGTTTTGGAATCCCCCCCCCCCCCCCCCCCCCCCCCCCCGAGTGTCTGTTCTGTATCTTTATTCCTCTCTCTGTTTTCGATTTTATTTATCAACCTTCGTTTCGTTTATTGCGTCTGTGGTGTGCTGCTGGTATCGCATTTGTGGTACGATTCACGTGGGTTTGTGAGTGCAGGGTGCTGTGTTCGTTGTTGCTGTTGTTGTTGCATGTGGTTTTTCTGACGGTATCGTATTTTTTCATCATTGCTATTGTTTTATTCTGCCGTGAGTTTAGGTTGTTTTGGATGTCGGTATTGTATCATTGCGTCAGGTTTGGTGGTTATGCAGGGGTGGATCGAGTGTTGCAGGTGTTGTGAATAGGATGGGGTGTGTAGATGCTGAAGGGAAAATTTGGGATATGATGCGTAGTCGCGTGATGGTTCTTCTTTGGCGTCTCTTGGTAGGACGAAGCGTAGTTTTGGTAATTTTCGCATCAGTACCGTGCTTGTGCGTTGTCGTTCTGTCACGTTGACGAACGTTGAGTGGGATTTTTTGCAGATTTTTTGTCTGGATTTTTGAATTCAAGTGATTGCGAGCAGGGATTCGGGCTTGTAACAGCTTACAACCATGTCTTGGCAATCGTACATCGATGATCACTTGATGTATGAAATTTCCGAGGGGCATTCGCTGACATCTGCTGCCATCGTTGGCCACGATGGCAGTGTTTGGGCTCAGAGCTCAAGCTTTCCGCAGGTGAACTTTTTCATTTGAACAAGTATGATCTTTGTGATTTCCTGGGTTCACAGTTTTCAAGCACCGGTGTTAATTCGAAAGATGGTATGACACCCTTCATAGCGAGATAATGCGCTTGCCAACGTTTTCGGTTTGATGCACTTGAAATTGATAATTCCCCGGTACCTGGAGTGTACTTCATTTATTTTGGTCTGATGATTGCTAGCCTCTCATTTGTGGGACTCGCAAGTGTATATATTTTGATTAAATATTTAATTGGCTGTATTTGCCTCTCTTGTAAACTTGATAACTTTCAGAAGCTGCTCTGTTTTCTTTTTAAGATAATCGTGTTTTACGAGCATGACCGCTAGAACTGGTTAATGCACTTCGTGGAATCCAGGTTACAGGATTCATCGAATGTAATCAACCATGTAAAAGGGTCCTATTCTCGATTGAATGGCACTGTTGTTCAAGTATGTCTTATGTATGGTTAACTTCCTTACCAATGTTTCTGGATGGTCAGAAAATACTTAACCTATGCAATTTATTCCTTTGAAATGGTTTGATTTCTGAGTCATCTTAGGACTAGGATTCACAGCTGACGGAGTGAAGTTCACTACTGAGCTGCGCATTGAATCGGTCCTCTGTGTGATGGTACCAGCTGTGGTTTGGTTCGCTGATTGAAGAACCGTATCTTCTTCTTGTGTGTCCTGAAAAGATCGGAGATATACTTTCTAAGTCGTATCTGAGATTGTTTATTTGGTCTCGCAGTTAAGCCCTGTGGAGGTAGAGAAGCTTCTTGATGGATTCGAGGAGAACAGTTCATTGCCTTCGAATGGGCTGTTTTTGGGAGGAGCGAAGTACATGGTTCTGCAAGGTGACCCAGGCATTGTCATTCGTGGAAAGAAGGTAGGGTGTGTCCTCCAGTGCACATGCTTAAGCATGCTGTAACACTTATGCTTGCATATCACTTTACCTTTTGAAAGACGTAAATCTCTTCGCAAGTTCCCTGTGGGTACTTTGGCTTGAAATGGCTTGTGCATAATCTTGTTGCTAATCATGAATCGGAAACCGGATTTCCTGTTACTTTACAGGGTCCAGGAGGTTGCACGATAAGGAAGACATTAAGCGCATTTGTTATTGGTCTGTATGACGAGCCTTGCACCCCTGGGGAATGCAACATTGCTGTGGAGAAGCTTGGTGAATACCTATACGAACAGGGAATTTGAAGACGTAGTAGTAACTCTTTCTGGGGCAATATCTATTTGACCAGAGTCTGGAAGTATTGTTATGGGTATGAGGTTGTTGTTGTGTCCTCTGGAATGGGTTAGAAATATACGTGAGATGCTTCCAAGCTGTTGCGTGGGTGTGGAGCGCTTCGTAGAGGTCTGGGGTGTCGACCATGTGCGATGTGCCAATTCATGAAGATGACAATGAGAGGGAAGGCCGTTGGAGCTGTGTTCAGAGGCTAGGGTGATATCTTGCAACATTGGTGGGGATATTATTCTCGAGCACCTAGTGATGGGAGGATCCTGTTCCTTCGAGTTGACCGGAGCAAGGAAGTCGCTAAAGTAGGCATTTCCGGGAGTGCCGTCTCTTGACATGTTCATGGTATTGGGAAAGCTGTGATGGTGGACGCGCTTGTGTAAAGCATGGTTTGATCCGTAAGTAAATGCGTAAGGGTTTTGTAAACCCTCTTTCAAGGGCAGCACACATTTCTATGCGTCTCCATTGCTGTTAAACGCAGACTTGTTCAATTAACATCACTGGCTGTTGTCGGGCAAATGCTTGTTTTGTGTCAATGTCCCGAAGTATGTACCAGTTCATAAAATCATTTTACTTTTTGTTTTCCATGTGAAAATAAATCTGCTGTAAGGAGACGCTGTGTGGAATACTCTCACAATTCAATTTCAGTAGGTAGGGTTCAAGTGGGTAAGGTAAGTTACTCCTGCGATCACTCTGCACGGACGACTAGTAGATGGCGCCCCCTTTCAAATAGTCGAAAACAATTTTTTTAAAAATCATTTTGGAAAGAATGTTAAAAATCTTACAATATTATCCTACATGATATTTCTCCATATGCTCGAAATTTTAGAACCATGCTAATCTCAATAACCTGTGACACGAGTAGCAAAATGTGCAGTTGATATACAGTGCTAAATTGGTGTACACACCAATAAAAATGTTTCACGAAGAAAAATGACGCAAAATACATACAATTCAGTTACGTCTTGAGGGATGCTTAACCAAAGTCCTTTTTTTTTTCTAAAAACATGGTAATAGAAATTTTAATCCAAATGCAACACAGCAAACTTAAGAACAGGTTTGGAATAAGTAAACTTTCAAGCAAGTACTGTTGATCATCTTCTCATGCATCCATTGCCATGACACGATTCCTATCATGATTTATGTTTCTTGGAGTTGCTTTTTATGATTTCTGTTCATGCATGGTCACCGTTTGTGTGGATAGTTGTTTAGGCTTAAAGTTCATTGTTGCAGCTTTCTTTCATGAGGGAGGTGTTGTAATCACCATCATCTGTTTTCCCTCTCACCTTCATCTGATATGATTCACATGCACTCCAGCTGTATTATTTTACCAGGTAATAATGTACTCATGATTTAAATTTTTCTAAGTGTTTGTAGCCAGATTGAAGAGGTTACTAAGTGTATGATTGTAGTTTATTGTTGTGTGGTAGTAGTGGATAGGATTCATGTTTTACTTTTCTTATTTTAATGTAATATATATCTGCATGTATATGTATATGTATATATATATATATATATATATATATTATTTTTATTTGAGGATACACTTAAAACAATACCTTCTAGCAACACTTTATTTTTATTATTGAAGAATTCTAAAATTCAAACAATTATTTTGTGTAGAAATGCTAAGTTAAAGATTCAATTCATAAATGAAAATAAAGTATCAAGTTGAAACAAAAAATTACAAATTGAAGAAGCGAAAGATGAAAAATGATAGAAATTAAAGAGAAGATAAATAAGATCAACGACAATTCAAAAAAAAACAAAAAAAAAAACAAAACAAAAACTAGAGGTGCAATGTGTCAAGGACATGAATCTTGAAAAAAGAAATCATCAACTCATTCTTGTGTCACTGAAAAGAATTAAAAAGTCACTCAAAGATAATATAATATTGATCTAAAATGGCTATTGCCAAAAACAAGAAGACTAAAAAGTCTTCAAACAAGACTAAGGACTAGAAAGGCATTGACAAGAGTGGAGAAAGCTTCACTTTTGCCTCTATATATACTCTTAACTAGGAGCTATGTGGTAATGTCCTATAGGACCTCCAAAATGTGTTGACTTTGTAAGATATGTATCTTAACTTGCAAGGCAAGTTTTTTTTATGTGGGCCATATAGTTAGCTTATTCTACAAGCTAGCAATATTTGGTTAATTTGTTGACCAAGTTTCTAACCTACCAATCAACTACAAATACATGTAAAGTCAAAGCAACATCTATAAAGCTTCCAAGAAGCTTCTTTAGAAGGTATTTAAAATTAATTTATTTTTATCTATTTTTATCTATTTTTATCTACTTCTATTTAATCATATAGGTATTTATTAGAGTATGTATGTAAATCCATGATACAATGCAAAAGCTACTATTAAACACTAAGGAAGGAAATAATAACAACACATAGAAAATTGAGATAAACAATCAATAATGAGAAGAAGTATAGTACTACCTTTGGCTCTTACCTTGTTTTAATCCATCTTAAATTTAGTTATCAAAGATATAAATTTTGAAAGATTTTTCAAAAGAAAATTTATTCATATACAATCTAAGAATGAAATAAAAAGCATATTTAAAGTATAAGAATATTATTAGATAGTATAAGTACAAAAATTTAGAGAGCCTTATATTAAGAGTCAAGGATGTAAATCTTAAAGAACCAAAAACTTAATACATTGTTATGTAATTCAAAAAGAGTAGATATTCACTCAAAACTAATATAATTTTGAAATTGGAATGACTATTACCAAAGCTAAGAAAGACTAGAAAGTCTTGAAATAAGACTAAAGATTAGAAAGGCATTAACAAGAGTGAAGAAGGGTTGATTCTTGTCTCTATATATACTATCTACCTAGAAGCTTGGTAGCAACATCCTATAGAATCTCTAACATGTGTTTAACTTGCGAGACATGTGACTTACAAGATATGTGTCTAACTTATAAGACAAGTTTTCTATATAAGCACCATGTAGTTAACTTGTTTCACAAGCTATTAGCATATGTGACACATGGCTAATTTGTTGGGCAAGTTTCTAACCTACCAATCAACTACAAACACCTCTAAAGTCAAATATGCATCTATAAACTTTCTGGAAGCTTTGCCATAAGATAATATTAAATCTACCTACATTTATCTTCTATCTAATACTTCTTATCTAGATAAATATATATATCCATGACATTACCTCTTCTTCCAAGGATGAGTTCCACAAAGAGTAGCAATCATTTGTTAAAGAAGTTCAAGATGCAACAAATTGTATTTTCCACATACTGTAATATTTGTTCTCTTCAAAGGTAGTTGATAGGTCCTTTCAACCATTGATAGTGTTGTATATCAAAGCAAAAAAACTACCCTATTATTTGATTATTGTTGAGGCTTTTGTAACTCCTTTCAAATATAACACTTAGACTACCATCAAAGACGGTTCCTACCTCCAATAATATCACCAAATATTGAAAGTCTCTTCTAAAGTCATAATACCAAACATGTTGTATTTTACTTTTTATTTTAAGAAGCATATGTTGTTGTTGAGGGTCTTCATCTCTACTATTTTGTCTTGAAAGTTGTGATAGTTTGAATGTTTCATCTGATAATTCAATAAATAATAGCTTTTAGGTTGAATTTGCTAGTTCTGATTCTCTATCTTTTTAGAGCCACAAATATACAAAAACTACAAACAATGATAGAAAAAAGAATGTAATCTTTTATAAACTATAGTTCTTTTATCCTTTATTTTGATTTTAATGGATGTTGTCAATAAAAAATATCAATTTTCTTTGATATATTTGCAAGATTCTTGATTTGCTTCTATGTATATTCATTAATATCATATCTATGCCAATGAATAAGATATTCTAACCTATTTTGGTACCACTTTGAGTCTAAGACTTCTTTGTCTTATATTTTTAAATATTATCCATTTTTGTAAGAAAAGGTGTTATTTGTCATCTTTTTAGTATATTTATTATCCTATATGGCTCAAGAAAAGACATATGGAATATGAGATGGATCTTCATAGACTTTAAAAGGTGAAATCCATAAACAACTAGATTAATCTATTCATAAATAAGAAAAGATCTAAGTCTATAATAATCCAACTTATTACAAGGACGAATTGACTTGATATTATAATAAAGTAACTATACCTTGTTGCCAACATAGAATTGAAGTTATTCCTTATAATAAGCATGTGCATTGATTTTTTCTTATTTTTGAACTTCTTTTAGTTGCGCCTTCATTGTTGCATGTAGCTCAAATAAATAATTTGTCAAATCTTTTGTTACAAGATTATCAATTTTTAAAAAGTCAAAAATATCAAGTTATAGATGATAAATATAATTGGTAAAAAAAGATATTTATTGAGTAGAAAAAATATACCATGTTATTATAAGCAAAATTTATCAATAATAAAAGAATTATCCAATCATCTTGTTAATTATTGATGGTATACCTCAAATACTATTCCAAAACTTGATTTACTTACTTTGTTTGTCTATCAGTTTCAAGATGAAAAGCAAGAGATAGTTTTATGTCCATCTTCAAAGTCTTAAAAAGAGTTCTCTAAAATTATACCAAGATTTTAGAAAACTCTACTAGATATAATATCCCTTGGCAATTCCTTGGCAATTCATAATAGTAATAAATATTGTTAAAAAAAATTTAGAAGTTTTTTTATTTTTATTTTTTATAGATTTTATATATGATACAAAATATACTATCTTGGTGAATTGATTTACTATTATAAATATAGAGTCAAAAGAATTTGAGATTTGAAGATCCATGATAAAGTCCATAGAAACAAAAGTCAATGATTGTTTAATAATAGGTTATAGTTGAAGAAGTCTATAAGGTTAATGATGAGGAGTTTTTAATCTTGAATAAATATCACATGATTGTATAAAGTCTTTAATTGCTTCAAAATAATCATTTTTAATTAATTAAAAGATGCATCCTTTTCTTATGGTATAAGATAAGAATATTTAAAAAAGATATTTAACAAACCTTATTATTTTTTTAAATTGATAAGTGATCTTGAAATCAAATCTTATTAAAGATATGCTTCAATGGGCTTGAAAACAATTCAAAACATGTATCAATATGAATTACTTGAGGTTTTTGTGATTTATATATAAAATGACTAAATTAGAAGTGTCTTTTGGATAATGAAGTCATTTTTGAAATGAATCCATGATTATAAGAAGCTCTTTATTGTTGATCTAATAATTAATCTTGATTACTAAAAATTTCTTAAAATAAAAAACTATTGAGTGGAATTTGTCATCTATTTCTATTTGTAACAAATTATACCTATAACAAAGTTTAATACATTTTTTTTTTTATAAAAAATATCTTAAAAAAATTTATACAATATAAGATAGGTATAGAAATAAACAATATCTTCAAAGCTTCAGTAGATACTTTATTTTCTTTGTTCCAATCAAGTTTATC